GGGGTTGGAGAAACAGCTCAGCAGTGAAGAGCAGAGATCTCACAGAGACACCACATGGCAGCTCACAGCCCCCCTGTATCTCAGGTGCAGGGGACCCAAGGGCCTTCTGGTCTCAGCAGGCACTGCACACATGTGGTACATACACATACATGCCGAAAAACACTCAGACGTAAATAAATCAACCCTTTAAAAATCCCTTTATTTGTATTTTATGTGTGTAGGTGTTTTACCTGCATGTGTATCTGTGCACCATGTGCATGCATACCTACCATGTCTAAAAGATGATGTCAGATCCCATGAACTGAGTTACATTTGTACATCACCATGTGGGTGTTTGGAACTGAGCCTGGGTCCTCTGGAGGAACAAGTGCTCATAACTACTGAGCTATCGCTGCAGCTCCCCCTTTTAAAAAGTGAAATTAAGATGGAAGAAAAGAAAGTGGCATCAAAACTGGTTCTTAACACAGAATTCTTGTGCCTTCTGCCCAGCTTTCTATAGAGAACTATCTGAACACTTAAGTGTCAAGTAATAGTATAGTAATAATTTATCATTTTTAAGCTTTAAATACAATTTCTTTCATAGGATTTTTGTTGATCCCAAATTTCTCATTCTGTTCCCCAAGAAGTTGGAGAACTCACTATCACTGTTTTGAAAAGTCTCTTCCTCATCTCTAGCTGCAGGATTAGCCCTAACAATACGATCCTCCCACGGCAGCACCTCATTGGAACACCCATCACAGTAGAGTAGGCTGTCGTGGAGTGCTGTCTTAACCCTGGCACTGTCTCCCTTAAGGCCTTTCTTTCCCAATGCTATCCTGTCTCATTATATTAAAAAAAACAAACAAACAAAAAAAAAACAACATGTAACTTTGGTAAGGAGAAATTAGGGCTTGTTAAGTAGTAAGTCCAATGTCCACATTCCCAAAAAAAAAAACATGTAAGGAGAAATTAGGGCTTGTTAAGTAGTAAGTCCAATGTCCACATTCCCAGGCAGGAACAACTAACCATGTATCTGGTCTCTGATGAAATCTAGATGACCAATGGAAGAACCCTATGGCAGTTCAAAGCACTGGATGAAAACAGAAAAACCTATAACAGAGTTCAAAGCACAGACTGGTCATTAAAAATGGCTCATGTACCTCTTCTGACAAGTCAATTTACTTTTCTGAGCCTTGGGCAAAGAGCTAAGAGTCAGCTATACCCAGATTCTTTCCAGTGCAAACTCCGTGACTTTAAGGTCTGGTTTCCACCGGGCTAGCTGGGTGGCTAACATCAGCTGAGGTAATATGGAGGTGGCTAAGGGAAAGGCGCCTTTCATGAGGACAGGTCTGTTCCAGAGAAACTCTGAGGTTGAAGGAGACTACTGTGTTCATTATCAGTGCAATGATCCTCCTTGCACACCTAAAGAACAAATTAAATGTGGGAATTTCATTTTTTTTTAGTTGTTTTAAATACTGTAACAAACTGTTTTTCTTTTTGAGGTGTCAGGGATGAAATGTAAGTTTGTGTGCTGTTGCCACTGAGCTATATCCTCAGCCCCAGAACATTTTTTAAAAGTTAAGTAACAACAGGAAATATTTAGCCAGAACTACGAAAATCCATCATGGAAATAACCATCCTCCAATTGAAAGAAACTCAATCATCAACTAATTCTGGAATAGTGAGTATGCTATTAAAGCCCAAGACGGTGTTTGGATAAAGATGTACTCTGCGGTATCATCTAATCCTAAAATTACTGAAATCCATTAGCAGCTGCCAGGATCAAGATCACAAGAGACTGTACAGAGTGTTTCGAAATATGGACATTTAAGAAAAAATACATAAATATAAATCGTGTGTACATTAGTGAGGTAGACTGTTCTGCTTAGTTTATCACATAAAGACCTCTATTTTCATGAAAATTCAATGAGACAAACAGAATTTATTTTCTACTCTCATCTTTGGGGACTAGTTAAAACCTTTGCTGCACTTTTGTTTGCATAGCTTGTGTAAATTACCTCACGTGCAGAGAGACAACACAGTTGTAAACCAGTCAGCCCCTAAACTAAAAAATGAATTGGAATTGCTGCGCTTGAATTCCACGCTCAAATGTCCCCACACATAACATGCTAGTAAAGCAAGCGTAAGTGACCGCTACTTCTCTGTAATAATGGAGGCGCATTTAAGATGATGTCAGTATCTGCACATTAAACCTGTATGTTCAGGTTTTGTCTACTGGGTCTTAAAACACATTCTGGAAAAACACAGGCGAGCTTTTATTGACAGCAAATGTTTTTGAAATCTTCACAACAGAAAGATTCAGAATGGAAAATGTCTAGTTATTAAACAGTTCAAAGCACACTGTGGTTCCAAAAAGAAAGCTTTTCCTTTCTGTATATGTCTTTTAACAAAAATAAAATTTCAAAATCTGAAAATGATGTACTGTCATAACTAGTTACATGAACAAATAAAACTTAAAAATACCATGAATTATCTTTACAGAAAACACCTGTTTGGACTCACATTGGTGCATCTGTGTTCTATTAAAGTATGAACACACTCTCTACCTCATAAGATAAACAAATCACATGGTGAATGTATTTTGTTACAGGTAGTCCAATTAAAAGTTACTTATTCAAACAAAATACATTAAACTAACAATCATGGTACAATTTAAAGATTTTCATTCCATTAGTATCTGATCTCCTTAACTCTCAAACCAAGGTTCAAATATAAAAAAACTCAATTTTACTAATCTATGCTAATATTAACTTTCAAAGTAATAATGTCTTGAAACCAATACATCAGAATGCTAGACAATATTTAATTTCTCTTTCTTCTGTGCGTGTGTACTGTGTGCAGAGCTTTCATGCAGGTAAGCAGGTGTGTGTGCCTGCGTGTGTGCATGTGTGGGTCAGGAGAAGACAACAGATATGCCCACTGTTCTTCACCTTACTTCTTTATGCCTGAGTCTCCGACAACACTGGAAACTCACTGTTTCAGCTACACTGGCTGGCCAGCATGCTCCCAGGATCTGCACGACTCTACATCCCAACAACGTGTTTACAGGAATACAAATTCATGGCCAGATTCTTAGTGTTTCAGTTCTTATGAAATCCAGTCCTTCTGTCCACAGAGCAAATATTCTTATACATTGAGCCAGCTCTTCAGCTTCATGGTTTTATTATTACTACCATCATCATCACCATCATCACCGCCACCCCATCAACATTATCACCATCATCAACATCATCATCATCACCATCATCACCACCATCACCATTACCCAAATCACCATCATCACCACCATCATCATCATGACCATCAGCACCACCACCACCACCATCAACAGAGTATCTTACTAGATAGCTCTGGCTGGCCTGGACCTTATTAAGTAGACCAGGATGGCCTCAAACTCACAGATATCTGCTATCCTCTATCTCCTAAATGCTGGAATTGAAAATGTAAGTCATCATGTCTAGCTTTGTGGTTTTATTTTAATATTCACATAAAGAAAACATACTGCTCATTCTAAGTGTCAGAAATACTCATCTTGATTGTATCTATCTTCATTATTCACAGGTTAAATATAATAGTTTTATCTATTTGATCCACTGACAATTGTGTTTTCCTACAATGGAAACATTTCTGTATGTGTGTCTTCATGAGCACACAGTCCTAAGTTCAGACTAAGTTACTATTTACATGTGAGCTGCTGCTGTGTAACACAGAAGGGGGGATGACTCAACTTCTGAAGTCCTTTCTCGTAAGCTACAGGAAGTGCTTACTCTTTACCATCACAGTTCTAAAACCTAAAATTGATAGAGTGAATAAGCTTATAATTTCATTTCTCAGCTTAGAAAGGCTCAAAACCATTTCATATCACAAATATATAGCACCAGGGCTGGAGAGATGGCAGGGCAGGTAAAAGCATTTGCTGCTCTTGCAGAGGACCTGGGTTTGGTTCCCTGCAACCACATGGTGGTTCACAACTATCTGTAACTCTAGTTCCAGGGGATCTGGTGCCCTCTTCTGGCCTCCACAAGCATTAGCCACACACACAGTGTACAAGCATACATGAAGCACTCACACAAACATGTAAAGATTTATTGAATTACCTCATAAAGGCACTAATGCTTTATAAGATGCATATTATATGCAAACTCACAATATCAATGAAATATCCATTATTTCCTAATTCCTGACTTGAAGAAATTTATCACATGCAGGATACAGAATGGTAAGAATTTACAATGTGTTGGATATGGTGGTGTACACCTTTAATACCAGCACTGGTGAGACAGAGGCAAGCATATCTCTGAGTTTGAGGCTAGCCAATGTGGCACAGTAAGACCATGCTACATATAAACTTCTAAAGTTGATTTTATGCTTTTCAAATTAAAAATGTAGTAAGTGACCTGTTTAATCACTTCACACTCATTATCTAATTGATTTATTTTTGTTAGGTCCATTTTATAGATGTATAACTCAGACTAGGGAAGATAACTCATAGACATGATGACATAATCAATTCTAATCTAGACAGACTTTAAATCTATACACCTAAGTACCATCATTTGAGAAAAAGAGATCCCAAATTTACACCTGCCATTGCACTGTGAAGCTTGTTCTGGAAGCTGGCGGTCTGGCGCCCACCTGGTACCTAGCTAGTTCACCTCCCTGAGTGTCATGTGACCCACTGCTTCTGAGAAGCACAAGCCAGCCATTCCCTGAGGCCTCCAGTGAGACAGCACAGAAAACCTCGAGGCTCAGAGCTTTAAAGCGCACTGTGGAGTGCTGGGACGTGCTGTAGGGAGGACTTTATAGCACACACTGGGGTGTTTGACTCTTCTGATAGAAGAGTGAACATAAACTGACAGAGAAGTCAATGTAGCCTAGATGCAAAGGCTTGGCAGTAGAAATCAGACTTGTAGAGTGGTTTAATAACCCTTCTTTGATTTAAGACACAACCTCAGGTATCTTAATTTACTCGTCTCTCAGACACACACAGAATTACTAACCTTCCACATTCATGGCTTCTCTCAGAACCTGAAGTTTCTTTTGTCTCTCTCGAATTCTGTCCAAAGCACTTGATACTGCAGAGGAAGTTGGCGTTTCCCGAGTGTGATACACTGGCTCCACTTTCTGAGGGCCAAAGACATCCAAGGCAATGCTTCCATCAGAGTACCTGGCCTCTTTCTTTCTGGGAGTGATTGAAGTCCGTTCTGTTACAGCCTCAGGGTCACAGTGCTGGTACCTGCCAGTCTCTCCAGAAAAGTCCCTGTCAGCTGTACAAAACAAGTCCATGGAGGAAGCCCAGACCTTCTTCTTGGAGAGCGTGTCGATTCCGGGGAAAACCTTTTTATGTGGACTGCTAGTTTTGAACGGGTAAGGGGAGGAGACAGTCCCAGAATCTTCAAGCCTGGAGTTATTATCAGATGGGATATCCTTGAAACAATCTTCCTCATCGTGTGTGTCTCTGATGGACAGAAATCCCATAGACTTACTAAGCCCTTTGTTAAGAAAAGTCTGATGAGAGAATGGAGCCTTGTGTATGTCTAGAGCGTCAGAAGTGGAACTTCTTCCTGGAATGATAAGAATCTATCATGTATGCGCAGCATCTTTAGAAAATCAGCTAGAATGTAACCTACTACTGATAGTGAAAGTGCTGCCAGCTCCCTAAATTATCCATGTGGAAGACCAGAGGTGAAATGACGACGGTAATTGTGAGAGTGGAAGCAGAGTATATAAAGTCTTGAGTCAAATGTCTCTTGCTTTGCTTTGGTATTACTAGGGATTGAACCTAGGCCCTTGTGCATGCAAGAACTCTGCCACTGAGCTATGCTAGCATCACAATGCCTCTTACGAACAACGTACATAATATATTGAACATGCACTTTTGAGTATTTCAGTCCTCAGAAGCAAAGTATTTGGTTTAAAAATGAAGATAAAAGTTGTTAATAACATCTAATTTTGTAAAACAGTAATTACTCATGAAATTATTGGGGGTAATAAAATGCATACTATACTCTTTTAACTTCTAAAAATGTAACTTAAAATTTTTTTCCAGGGTTAAAAAGTCCTAGCACATTCTGATCCTTCAAATAAATGTTTAATTGAAGAAACAGAATTCTTTGTATTCTGCATAGAAAGAAAAATTTAACACTTGGAATTATCAAGTTCAAGATTTTACTATAACTAGATATAGTTTCAGAAAATTTTACCATGTCTGAAACCCAGTTAATTTCTATCTAAACTGCTAAAGAAACCCAAGTTTTCATGACAGACTATTATAGAGACTAAAATTTCTTCCCTTAGAATGGAATGCATCACTATTTGCTAGCTGCAACCTCAATTTTAGCTTTATATTTACAGTTCAATAGAATTAAAACCAGGTATTTATTCTGTTGGTTTTTAAAGTTTTATGGAGACACACCAGAAATGTCCGTTTGGTTATATTAATTCTATGAATCAACAGATCAACACCAAAATGGTATTTGTCCAGTACTGAAAAAAATGTGAGAAATATTTGAAATTGCTACCTCAATAGCCCTAAACAGTGACAAATTTCTCTGGTATATTCTGTGACCTCTCTTTGAAAACAAACATGCTGTATAATATGACTAGATTCTTCTTAGTAACAAGAAATTGCTTACAAATTCATCTGAATCTACCAATTATCACTTCGAAGTAATACAAATTTAATCTAACCTTTCTCAAAAGACAAACAAAACCAAGACCAACTCCTCCCATTACCACACATCCTTTTAGCTACTGTCTTTCCAGTGCCTTCCTTTCCATTCATTCATTCCCTACTTTGGTCAGGCTCCAGCTACTTACTCTGCACCTGGGTGGCCTCCCAATTGCCAAGCTCAGTGACTCTGCTCCAGGTGAAGGTCTCTCATGGGCTCCCTTTCTTCTTCACACCTGGCTCCCCTGCTGGGGCTGCTTACCCCTCTTTACTCTTGCTTTTCCCTAATCCTTTAATGTATTTCCAAATGTTGGCTTTCCTCGAGTATCAGGTTCAGAATTCCTCTTTTGTCTTTCTCCTTATAAAATGTTATTAACAATACTTTAAATATTATCTGGATTTGAAAACATCTCTAGTTCACTTTCTTAACAACATCTTTCTGGAGAAGCTACAGTCTTACACAACTGAATTGCTGCTGCTGTGCCTCAGAAGCACCTCAGACTGTTCAAGATTCACTCATCTTGTGTTTTCTGCTTCCAGAATGATCCATTACTTTCCAGTCTTTCCTAATACTGTAAGTGGCACTATTACCCAACTGATTACTCAAAATGGAAATATGGGCACTGTCCTTAAATGACTCATCTTCCTTACCTCCATCAGCAATTACTGTTTAAATTTTTCAAAGACACCTTGCTTCATGTGTTAATATCCATTCCACTGCCATTGCATCATACCCAATTAATGATGTTGATTGGCTAGATCACTGTTGTAACCCTTACATTAGCTGCTTCTATCAACTCCTTTCAACATCCAGAATTATATTTTTACAATGTAAATTCTCATGTCACTAACCTGTTCAACAAATCACAGTCTCAGGAAATTGAAACGTCTGGATCTGCCACTTGAATTCTTTACATTTGATATCTATTTCCTCATTTTATCTAAGTCATAGGCTTTTCTCTGTTGAGTTCTTATACATAAAAATATACTTTTCTGTGGCCAGGCGTTGGTGGTGCACGCCTTTAATCCCAGCACTCGGGAGGCAGAGGCAGGTGGATCTCTGTGAGTTTGAGGCCTCCCTGGTCTCCACAGCAAGTGCCAGGATAGGCTCCAAAGCTACACAGAGAAACCCTGTCTTGAAAAACCAAAGAAAAAAATTATACATAATATATACACTTTTCTGACTCTTCTTTTTCAGTTCTTTCTCATGTCCAGTTTCTTTTCATGTCCAGTTTCTTTGCATTCAGTTGTTTTATTTTAATCTTTTCAAAAAATCAATTAACTTATTTATCTCTGTGTGTATGGGTATTTTGCCTGTATGTATGTATGAACGTGTGTGCAGTGCCTAAAGAGGCAACAAGAGGGTGTTTGATCACCTGGAACTGGAATTCAAGAGGTTGTAAGCTACTGCAGGGGTGCTGGGAATTGAACTCAGGTCCTCTGAAAGAAGCCAGTGCTCTAACTACTGAGCCACCTCTCCAGGCTCCCCATGGTTTTACTTTAAATAGGACTTCCTCAAAGCAGTCAACCCTCTGTCATTATAATAGAAGCAAACCACTTAACAGATGCATTGCAGGCTCATGGCCTTGTAGGACGTAAGTGCATGTCTGCATTTAGAGCATTAGACCGTTCTTGTTTACTAACAGTACATTAATTGGTCACGGCATCTCCAGAAGCATGTCTTCGCCCAAACCACACAGGCCTAAAGGAACTGCTAACTACATGGCTTTTGGGAAGCTGCTGATTTACAGACAGGGCTCTATGGTTGTGATGAAAATTATTCAGATACAGAAACATTTCGGTATACATTTATTCAAAGTTCAAGAAGTTAAGACCAACATAGGTTATATATTAAAACCCTGTCTCAAAGAAATAAAAAGTGGGGCTGGTGAAATGGCTTAGTTGTTAAGAGCACTTGCTGCTCTTACAGAGGACTGGGTTCAGTTTGCAGTCCCTATGTGGTGGCTCACAACTGTCTGTCACTCTGTTCCAGGGAACTGGAACCCTCTTCTGGCCTCTACAGGCATTACACACATGTAGCATACATTATAAGCAAAGCATTCATGCACATAAGAGGACAACAGCAGAAGAAAGGTGCTATGAGGGAGGCAATGAGGAAGGAGGGGGCGCTAACTGGGGATGGAGGGGGGAAGAGTGATGTAACACAGGAAAGGAAAGATAAATAACACTGTGAGGATTTAAAATACACAGAAAAATATTGTATAAGCTTATTTAAAATATGTGTATGCATATATTTGTGTATATACATACATACATAAATATATATTTAATGGCGTTATGTCACATGGGGTCATGGTGCCCCCCCCAAGAGCTATGTAACAAAAATTCCATCATCAGGCATGGGAACTCCCATACCCCCTGAATTATTGTTTGAGGGAATATGTGAGTCTCCTAAAACAATATAGGCTATTGTCACTGCCCTTTGTTTCCTTCCAGAACTTGAAACTAATATCCTATTGCTGGAGACACCACACATTTCAGACACAGGAGAAATAAAGCTGAAAGTGACCTAGGAAGTCCCTCTGAGGACTGGCTTTTACAGTATGGGAAGGTGCTATGCAACCTGCCTAGGAAGAGCAGCAAAACCTATAAACAAAAGCCTGGTGTATAAAGCCTACAAACCACAGTGACTGGCCTGGCAACTAACTTGTCTCCAAAGGTACAATACTGGCATTTTCATTGGGGGTAACCAACAACTGCCTGATTGAACTTAAGGCCTGCTTGATGGGAGGGATTCATGCCTGGTACTATAGACAAAGGCAACCACACATGACTGGAGATGCCAATAAACCCTAGAGGAAAATTTACTACTGCCATCTCCCTAAACTTATGCAATTTCAAACTGTAGTCTAAACACTGATTCTTACATTCAGCGGTAAGTGTAGTGCAGCCATCCTCACCCCTCACAGAAGAAGCTTCCTTTATAACAGACTGAAACCACTACAGGGTCCATAGCTGCTCAAGATGCAGAGATTAAGTGTGTCTCTGAGGTGCTCAAACCCAACTGGTATCAACAGTGCAACTCTTAAACCTACAGCTCAGGGAACATCACAGAAGAGGGGCAGAAATATTTTAAGAGCCGGGGACCAAGATGCCTACTGCTAGACTAGATAGCATCCACTAGACATCATAAGAAAATGAAACCATGAACTCCCAACTACATCGCTGCTTGAACAATATTGGCATAATGACATCACCAGCTGACATGCCAAAATGGACAGTGGAAATTTCACAAATCCTGTCACTTGATGAAGAACTATAGATGGTCAATGGGTGATAAGAGGGGGAAAATCAGTTTCCTCCAGGGACAGGATCCCAAAGTTGTCTAATTATAGGTGGTCCATCCTGGACACATATGAAGATGGTCAATGTTAAAGAGACTCAATGGATTATATGTGTGCACATACACACATACCTGTATATATACCTGCAACAATAATTAGAAGAGGTCATAAATTTGGGAGGGGAAGGCAGAAGTGAGCTAGAAGCAATGCTCATGTATGAAGTTCTCAAATTAAATTAAATGCACACTCATACAAATAAAATAAAAACAAATCTTCAAAAGAATACATGAAAATATACAGTGGAAATAAAACAATCTACTTGAAAGTTTGTCACAATTTTTTTTTACTCCTCCAAATGTCAAATATAACTATAGTGCAATTTGTTCTTGAAGTTTTCAAATCATATCTGCTAACATTATAATCACAAACTTGAAATCTCATGACAATTATTTATAAAAGTATAAAAGACAATCTTGAATCATAATTAAAGCCAATGGGACCACGAAAAGACTGGTGAAATACAAAGAGGGTCAAAAAAGGGAGAGAGATGGGGAGAATGGTAACATCTGAGGAAACTGAGCAGAAAATG